CACACACACACACACACACACACACACACACACACACACACACACACACACACACACACACGCGGTCCATATCTTCCTGCCTGAAACAAAAAAAAGTTCATTATTTTTTGACTCCATGATGTTGATTTCAGCATCCTGTGAGGGTTATATCATCGACTGCAGGCTTGTTTTGTCTTTAAATAATTGTTTCTGTAATTTAGCAGATGCCAGATTTCACTGATAAGAATATAAACATCTGACTTTTTCAGCAGCGTTAATGTAACTGAAACAAAWTTTTTTTTGACAAAGGTGCTGTTGGCTGAGTGTCTACCCATTAAGTCAGACTTATTAATTTMTTTTACAGTTAAGTGTTTTCAGCAACTTGTTTAAATGAAATGTTTTTAAGCATAAAAAATTAAATCATTAATAATCAGTTAATGAAGGAAGCGAGGAGGAAAACAGTTAAGAAATGTAGGAATGAAAAAGGAAAAGTTCTTGGCAGGAAACAGGCCTGGTTTCCTGTGATGTTAATGCTACAAGCCTGTGTAGAGGGGGTCCCTAAGACACACACACACACACACACTGCTGCTAATCAGTAGCACTGTTATCTGGACTCACGGGGGGAAGTGTTTATATTTGTCTAAAAGGCTGGACCACCATGCAGGGCTGAAAATGACACAAAAGCATAATCGATCAGTATAAACGCCCTTTTTGACAGTCATACACACACACACAATTAGACAATTCAGCATATTAAGATCATAAAAAGGTCAACATGCACCTGTTCTCAATTTCTTCTTCTTCTGCTTCTTTTTAATTTGCCTTCATGGCGTGAAACGGGGCCACATTCTTCAGTTTGAGTTTAAAACTGGTCTGGATCACACGGTTTGGGCAGGAAGCTGGTTCCTGTAGGGAAACATTACTCYGTGTGTCACTGTTGTGATTAGGGGTGAGGTGCGGATTCACCCAGCATATCTTGGTTTTGGCCTTATCTGTGTTAAAGCTGGTTAAACTAAACTGAGCTTAATCAGATGGAGATTTTCAAGTCTGGTGCTTTTCTTYCATATTTACACTTAAAACACCACAGTTTTTTTTTGTAACCATATTTATAATCTTTTCATGATGACTAAAGTTCATATTTACACTCTGACCCCACAGGGRAACTGGAGTTTTGTTCTTGTCATGCATCGTGGGTGTTTTATTGAGAAGTCAGAACCGCACTGTTTGGTTTCTGCTGCTCTACAACAGACGGTTCCTCATCAGGTGGCACGGTGAGTTATTGAACCTGTCATATAATTTATGCACATGTTATTTCATTTATTATGAATGTGTAAATCATTTCCARTCTGAACACTACTGCTGTATATTTATTTTACTGTGCTTTATTTTTGTTCAGTATTTCCTCTTGAAACTTTTCTTCTATATTTTGGTCCTTTTACTATTGCAGCTGTATATATACAGTATATTAATTAATTAATTAATTAAATTAATTAATTAAATTAATTAATTAATTAATTAATTTGTGCATCAAAACAGACTCTGCAGCATCACTTGAATCACGTTGTTAGGCGATTTAATATAGTTACTTTGTTTTATTTTTTATTATAAACTATATTTTTAAACTATTTTACATTTAAAAGAGAAGTGCGTACAGACAACAATATCAGATTTATGCTATTAAGGACATGAACACATCATTAATCATGATTTGTGTTTCTAATTGTTCTGTCAAAAAATATGTATTAAATTAGAGTATTTATGGACTTTATTCCGCATCATCTTAAACACGTCATTATTTTATTTGCCATGTGGTATAGTGTTCTGCTTTGTGTTAAAAGGATACTTCATATGTTTTGAAATGGTTTTCTGAGGAAATGTTATGAGCAATCAATATCTTACCTGCTGTAGATAGACCTTCATGTCATCTATCATATTATTTCTGCCAGAACAATGTTATAATGAAAAACTGATATGGATTTAAAGGCTTAACAAACACAATCAGTTATTCAATCTTTGAGTTTTTTTTGTTTTAAGCCACTTAAATCTATGTGATTTTGGGTCACTTAAAAAACAATCAATCTAAGCAAATTGAGTTGAATCACTTCATCACAGTCTTCTATGCTGAGCCTATAGTGACAGTGGGAAGGAAAAAAACTCTTTTACCAAGAGGAAACCTCCAGCAGAACCAGGCTCAGGTTTGGGAGGACAGGAAAGAGACACAGAGAAAACACAGAATGACTGGTTCAGGTGCGCTTCCTCTGGAAGAGAGACAAAGAAAACACACAGCTTTTAAGAACTGAACTGTGTTTTCAAAATGAAGTGTTTCACAAAGCTAATGTAACATTTGCAGAGAGCTTAACTATAGGGATTACATTTACGTGTTTAAATGCCGCAGCGACAACCAGAAAAGTCTGAATTTGGGCCTGTTTTTTTTTGTTTGTTTGTTTTGAGAAGCCTCATGAAGACTCTGTTCAGTGTTTTGTAGTTGTACGGCTGCTGGTGCGTTTGTTCATTGTCGGTCCGACCTCCTCTCTCCCATCTGCCGCTGCTCATTAGCATGGATACAGGACTGGGACCATTTTCACACATACACACACTGGCCATTAATCAACAAGTCAGACCAGGGTCTATTCCCACACACRCGCGCGCACACACACAAAAACAAAGACAATACCCACAGAGACCCGGAGCTTAATCACCAAAATATCCCCCAGCACACTTTACTTGATCTCGACCACCCCTCTTGTCTTGGCGGATCAGACCTGGCAGCTCAAATTTTTTTGTCCGTCAAATCTGCCAACCCAGTGACGTCTCAATTGCCTTTTCCGTTAAGTGATGACTGCTCCCTCGTGGCACCACGAGCGAACACAGGAAGATTTGTTCCCATCAGCTGTTTTCTCCTTTGTCTTGGTGGGTTCAGTCGGCGAGTTCGATTGTGGGAATTTGCTGTCTAATTTGTCTGGCCGTCATGAATGGCCACATTCAAGAAAAGATTTCTTCCCATGAACTGGCAACTTAAGAGAGAGGAGTGCGTAAAGACAAACAAAGCTGACCATGCTGCTGAGCGAAATTATCTGTGGTGGGATAAAGAATTAATTTGAATAAAATGTCATGAAAAGTATGTTTAAAAAAAGTTATGGAAGATATGCACTAATTGTTTACCTGAGATGCAAAATAAGGGATTATTAAGCAAATATAATAAAAAAATCTGGTCATGTCACTGAATATATAACAAAACAGATTTTACAAAGCTCACATTTTAAACTGAAAAAAAAAAAACTACTAAGATAAAACATTATATTCCAGAACTCATGAAGACGTAAAAGTGCAACAAAATGTGTTTTAAACATTTTAATTTCATTTTTTATTGTCTTTTGCGTCATTTTTAAAAAACAGTTCTGTATTGCTTGTGTTTTTTGTGTTGTTTTCTGAGAAATTGTTGAGTTTTATGTTCACCTTTTACTGTTCTGTTAGAGTTGAGATTTGATTTTTTTTTTTTTTTGGGTGGCCAATGAGCAAATACATGATCTTGTTTCTAAAAAAAATGTTTTACCTTTCATCCACATATTTTTGACTAATTCACATTGAAACTTAAGTTGTGACAGAAGCAGATTTCTATCTAAAATGAAGAAAAACGCAGAGTTAAAATGATTTATCTTGTGTAAATCCTTGCCTTTTAATCCCATTTGCTAAACTTCTGCTGTCATATTTCACTCTGACCTCTGCGTTTGACATCATTTGTGTTTCGGCCGCAGTCCYCTGAAACTTTCTCAGCCATCTAATGTCAAATATATCATCACAACGTCCCCACTGTGTTAGAAATCAGTGAATGAGTCATTTAAATAAACTGATTTCTCACACATATGGCACAGCTTTCAGCAACTCTTTGTATTCACACGCGTTTATGTATTTCGGCCTTTATCGCCAAGTCATTTTTTACATCAATGCGTTTTRGATATCATCATTTAAAGACTTGTGACAGGATATTTAAAAAGAAATCTGAGCTCAGAAGTGTGACGGGCCTGCTGTGCCRCAGGACCGGCGCACAAAAGAGGGAAGCATCTCTCTTTCTAAAGCAGGTAGAGCTGCTGTCTCTCCTCACCTGCTGCTAAAGAGTCCAACACAATTCACACTCATCAGCGAGTGATAGAGAGACATCTGCCGTCTCTCCATCCCTGCGTCTCCTCCTCTCCTCTGTGGCAACATCTGCTTCCTCTGCTGCTCTTTCCCATCATGCGGTGGGCGTGTCCAACACCCCGCCACCCCCAGCTTCATTGTTCTAGCCAATCATTGTCCTCRCCAAGCTGTTCCCACGATGCACCAGTAATGACCAGAAGGTGCTGATGGGAGCTGGTGTCTCTGAAGGAATGACTCTGTCTTTACAACCGCTTTAACCCCCGGGGAGGTTTGACAAAAAAAAAAAAAAGGTAAAATACAAACAAAAAGATCACCTCTCTCTTCAACAAACAGAGCTATGAGGTTGATTTTAATGTCTTCTGGCCTGCAACAGCTCCCCCAAACCTGTAATTTAGAAAGAATATGTATCATTATAGGAAAGGGCGAGTAGGAGGGGGAAATTAAATTGTGTGCATATTAACAGAGTCAGAAAGAAGGACAATCTGGAAAAGAGGAAGAAAGAGGGGGTGAAAGAAGGAAAAAAGGGATGGAGTTCTGGGAAAAGATCAGAGCCTGGTCCCTGGGGAGTGGCGACAGATGAAGTAGCTGAATAAGCTGTCTGTCATTGTGTGACTTCGGCTGCTGTGGTCACTTCGTTTGTTCAAACGCAACAATGAAGGGTGGCTGAGAGAGAAATCTCTGTTTTCCCACAAGATTTAGCCCAAAAAAATCTCTTGCCAGTGATGCTCAGTGTATGGAGGCGGAGGGGAGGGGGGTTTATCCTGATGACGAATTAAAATGCTAGAAAGAGAGAGACGCAGAGCCAATGAGTCACCGTTATGATGCAACAAGAAGACAAAAACATACAGGGACAATAAACTGTATGAACTTGGAATATTTCATGCACTTTTTTTAGGTCACACATATTCATGAGCAAGAGCGTAAGGGGGGTTGTGCTCTAAAATCCTGCATGGCATTTTTAGCATTATGCTTAAACATACATATAAGACATGGTAGATTTTAAAATCAGGTTAAAGTTACCTAAAGACAACGATCTGTATACTTAACCAGCTAATTTCTATTGTGTTTGAGCAAATAATGTCAATTTATTGGGGGAGTTATTTTAACTGGATCAAATTATTGTGGGGGTCATAACCCACCCCCCTGCAAATTACGCCTATGTTCATGAGTGTAATTATAACATAGTGTCATTGAAGATTGAAAAATACAGTAGTGAGCACGATTTTAAATAAATCTGTTTCAAAATAGCACAAATAATTCATGAAAATGAAAAAAATGTGCATGAATAATTGTTTTTAATGATTTGCAGAAAAAAACTAAATAAATTTTTTACTTATAGTCAAAGGGTCATTGTTACTTATTTGTGTAGAATATTACTTAGTTACAAAGTGCTGAAAAACTCAACGGAAATTCACTTAAAAAAAGGTAAAAATATCAGATATTGTTGAAATTTTTCACAAAGATGTGTCTTTTAGAGATTTAAAGGTTTGTTTTCTGTTTTTTTTTAACAAACTCACCTGGGAAAATGACAAGAAAACAGTTTGTTATGGTTTAAAGTAGACTGATAACTTTAAGATACGTTAAAGAAATTGTTTGAATTTTTTTGAAGTGGTGTTCTGTTGCTATTAGGAATCTACCTGTAGAACTCACTCAGAAACATCAGGCTGTCTGTGGGGAGACATGCTCATGGTTTACACTGGATTTCTGTTGTCTAAGAAAACAACAACATTTTTTGTAAATGATTTATACATTTATAACACAGTGTTTCATGAACCTGTTACTTTTACATAAGACAGTTATTTACTCTGAAGACCTTTTCAAATTTGTCAGATTATTCGTCCAAGTGAAACACACTTAAAACACATTTAGTGTGCTGGCCAGACACTCACATCCCACCACATACTGATGAAAAAAATCAGTTGAAGGAACCAAATATTTCATAGCAGTTCAAGTAATCAGTATTTTATAAAAATTTATAGCTCATTTTACACCAGAAACACGCTGAACATGTTCAGTTTTACAAGTTTTAAGTGGAACTTTATTTGTAACCGACACTAGCTGYGTTTCCATTGACCATGAAAATGCACAAATTAGAATTTCGAAAATAAATTTGCTCAATGGAAACACATCAATTTAGAAAAAAATTACGTTTTTCGACAAAATGGTTTTGCGCTGATGAGGTGTTTTTTTATTGAAATTGATGTATTTCGCAAAATTGCAAAGGAAACATATTTTTTGCATCACGGGAGTCACGTGAGCAAGAACCGGCTGTTTCTCCTGGCGAAAAAGACAGCAAAGAAGAAGACAACAGGAAGTAAAAGTAGTAGTAAAAYCACCGAAGTAGTAAAAGAAAGTAGTAAACTCATCGACTACAATTTCCCAAAAACATAGCATACGTAGCCGCTCCCAAGTATAAGGGGCTTGTCGCTGGAAAGCCTCGATCAGACGCCGACATCTCCTCTGATGGCTGATGATGAGCGCTAGTGTTGTGGTAGCAATATGCTATGTGTTTACATCTATTGCCGCCATGTTTGTAATGACACGGCGAGAACAAACGTATTCACGCGTGACTTTAATTGCATTTCTTACTTAATGGAAACACCTCAATTGCGAAACTGTGTTTTTTCAACATTAACAGAATATTAATAAAGTTTTGCGCACATTTGCAACGGAAACGCAGCTAGTGACCAAATCAATAATTGATAATCACAGACTTCGATAAAAGTGATGACAGGGTAAAGTCACCTGTTTTAATGTGACAGCTTCCAGCTGTGGAGAGGACTATAACAGATAAGACATTTGTCTGATTCTTACAAACMGATTTCTGCTRCAGGTAAAACACTGATTACTGGTGATGACTCTACAGAACACTGTTGCTTCAGGGTCAAAGTCATTTGAGGTTCTAAAGTAATTCAATGATGAAACAAAATAATGATTTTTAATTAAAAGTGATTTAAAAAAGAATAAATCAAATAGAAGTTAAGCATTAAATTAAGAGTTGCTCTTTGTTAAGTATTGTTGCACTTATTTTACCCAACTTACCACACCGCCAGCATCTTCTCACCTAATTCCAGACGGACTAGGACGTGTTGACACCACGGCTCTGTGGAGGCCAACCATCTGCTGGCAGACTTGTTTTTCTGCAGCAGAACTTTTATGACCATCTTTACGACTTTACAACCTGTAGGTTCACTGTCATTCTGCTGAATGAACTTGGAAGAATTTAGATGCTTCACTGATGGTTTCATTTTACCCAACATTAAGCTGGATAGAACTGTAATCATATAAAATACATGCACATTTTTGCACTATACGCAAAGGAAAATGATGAATGGGAAAATGAACTGATGGACTCACAACAGCCTCTAATGAACCACTTTCAACTAAACTTTTAGGACAGTACTTTCAGGCGGGTATTGGGGGGGAAATGCAATTGGTGGGTCGGGGGTTAGGTTTAGGGCTGAAATTGAGTTTAGGTTGGATTTAGGGTCAGGGTACTTGAGGTTAGGTTTAGGGTAAGGGGTCAGGGTTAGGCTGAAGAAATTAATGGAAGTCAATGGGGTGGGACTTTAAGTCCCCATAAAGATAGCTGAACTAGACTGTGTGTGTGTGTGTGTGTGTGTGTGTGTGTGTGTGTGTGTGCACATATAGAACAGGTGACCAATACGCAGACAAAGGGAGTCCAAGTGTGTGCTTTTTTTTTCTTCCTCCTTTTCTCGTGTTACCATCTTCAAAACAATCTCCTTCAGTCTCACTTTCTTTTACACACCCACGCTTTCTCTCTTTCACACACACACACACACACACACACACACACACACAC